AGACGTTGACAGCATCTGATGCTGAGGACAATCTGCCTTGCAGATCTTTCACCCTGGAGTTACAGGCAAGAGGAATAGCATCTTCATCTTTGAGAAGCCAGCATTTAGCAGAACAACTAGAACAAGAGAAACCAGTATTGTTTGCTAAAAGTACTTTGAATGAAGCAGGGAAATAGAAAATTCTTTGGAGTACAAAAGTAATATATAAATCCCTGTGGGCTGATGACGTTGCTAAGGCAGTAGAGTGGTTGTCTACCTTGCACAAAGCTCCAAGTTTAATCCTTGCCATTCCATAAAAAGAGGTATGATGTCATCCTCAGCTACATATCAGACTAAGGGCCAGCAAGGGCTATATAAGACTCTGTCTCAAGTACGTAGATAGATGATAGGTAGATAGAGAAATGAGTCTAGTCCAGTTAATGATGGAAGAATTATATTAAAAGTGCTTCTAGAAATACAAATAGAATGTTTGCATGCAACACTCCTTTTCAGACTAAAAATAATTTCCATATGCTTCTGAATGACTTTCAAACATTGAAATGATTCTGAAATTAAGAAAAGAAAAAGTAAATCCAACTTGTCTGTAGCAAATGATGTATGTCTTTCCCTTCACCAAGTCCTGTAGTCTAGGAAAGTAACTTGTGCTGCTCTTGCAAGGGAACTGTTCTCTTGGGACTTGTCAGTCTTTATATACAGCCAGGATCAGCCACAATGAATTTACAAAAAAATCAGAAATCCTGTGCTATTGCATTAAAAAATACCTGCACAGTTTAATCGGACATGAAGAAGTATAAAATTCTAAAACTGTCTAATTGGGATGTGATCAGATGAATCACAACTACTTATCTAAAAATACAAATTGTATTTCTGAAAATTCAAAATCCAGAGTTAATAACAGTGGAAAATCAGAATTAAAGTAAATCTAATTGTAGTAACATCTGACAACACTTAAAATATGAGCCTGGTTTTTCACAGGGGCATGAAGACGTTATAGCATTATAGATACTATCAGAGTATATGTTGTTCCTCAATTGAAAACAACAATATGATGGCTGCAGGAGCTGAAAGTTCAATGTTAATCATTTTCTCTAGGAAGATAATAAAAAATAACTTTTAAAAACATTGCTGTGTGTGGTTAAACCATTCTTCATTCAAAACTGTATTTTGGCTTTGGAAAAATTGAGATTAATAGTTTTAATCAACTATTGATTAATAGTTAATAAACTATTAATCAATAAACTATTAATCAATAAGAAAGTCTCTGAGAGCCAAAGTTGAGTGTTTCCAGGAATCCATCAAGCTTTTTTTCTTCCAATGTTCACAAAATATTTATATGTACAAACACACACACGCACACATATATATATAATCCATTTTATTTCAGAACTGTATAGGTTGTATAGTATAAAGAAAAGATATTGTTTTTTCAAACAAGCTACATCTCAATGTAAATGCCAACCCTGCTTTCCTTGTCCTCGGGTCACTCAATTATAAATAAAGAAAAAGAAATTTGTCTCATGGAGTTAATATGAGCAAAGGAGCTTATAAAATTTTCTTGAAATAGGGTAACAGAAATTTATTCAAAGATCCTCCTAAATGCATGAATACTTACTTAGTAAAGATTTACAGAAGATAGAGCAATAGCAACAATGCATTATATTAATTTTTTTTTAAAAAAAAAACCTGAAATTCTGGGTTCTGTGTGCTGCTTGGGAGTCACAGTATGCACCGGCTCTGTTACCGTAGTGGGAAGTCACCTGCTTCAACTCTTTGGCCCTTGACATTCAGAAAATTGATTTGTGGCTTGATTAATCTGATTTATAGATAAGATCCTCTACCTGCCCTTTCTTGTTACATTGTCTCTTCAGAGTAAGAGAAGCCTGGCAGATGTGATTACATGTGATGTCCTTACGAAAGTGGCTTTCATTCACTGTCTCTTGCACTGGACTCAGGGGGTCTGTGTTTTACAGATGCGGGCCTTAAATAAACTCTGCCTTGCAAATATTTTCAATTTGGAAAGCATTTGAGGTTGAAATAGCTTTTTCATTTTTTATTCATTATTTTATGCATCTCTCCATTTAGCTGTCATGTGCCTTTAAGATTTACACTTCACTTCCCTCATGAAACTGGGAAATGCAGTGTTTGAATATACATATATGGTAAGAGCATTTACTGGTCACATTATCTTGACCAGAAAATGAGAAAAGGAGGAAAGGGAGGGCATGCAAGAAATGTTCTCATATTCTTGCCCAGAGGAGCACTAATGGGTTATGAACCCTTTCAGAGTCATAGAGCAGAGAGAAAAATGGTTGCCTTGGCAACAAGGCAGGCCAGTCAGTTCCACATACTCCCAAGAGCTTCTAATTTATTCAGCAAATGGAGGCTAGAACAGGTGGCTAACCTAGATGATGCCAAAATCCTTTAGCTCCAGAATGCTGGCATCCTCCAATTCTCTTGCATACAAACTATCATTCTTTTCCTTTTTATTGGAAGAGTTAACTAGATACATTTCAGTGTGACTCTAAGTATCTTAATAAACAGGAAAGCTGTCAGCATTCGTCATTTTCTAACAACAAAATATAGTGTCTGAGATTTCACAAAATGATGGATACCAACAATTTGGAGTCAATGGTTACTCTGAAAGTGAAAGTGACCTTAAGCCCCATTATAAAATGCAGCATTGCTCTTCCAGTAAATCAGATATCATTTTGAATTTTACAAGGAAGTTTGTTGCTTGATTTCACAATGTTGTTTTAAATGATAAACACCCTCAGAAATTCCAATTCCATAAAACCATCTGCAAGCATATGAGTGTAACCCATTTCAGATTGTCAAAGAAAATAGGACCGATATCAAGTTACTTAAAGCCCCAGTTATTTATTTTAACTTCAAATGACATCATTAATTGTCAGGTAAAGAACATCTCTGAAAAGCTAGTAGTAGCTTTTGAAACCATGGCACGAATACTTTCATGGATGCATGCCAGTGTTCTTTCCTAGCCTCATATCTCAACTCTTCCTAGTATATCCGGAGTTTCGCATAATAGGATCCCAGGTCATCCTGCTCCTCCTATCCCTGCCTTTTGCTGGTCTGCTGTCTCTGTCATAAGCTGCAATTCCAGCCCTGCATTACTTGTTCAGAGTACATCCACTCTCAAGGCCACATGCAAACATTTCTCTCTTCCCAAACCCTTTCTTCCTTGACCATGAAGAACTGTTGCTTGGATGATAGGCAAGGCCCCTCTATGAGAAAACACCATTACTGGTTTCTCTTTTCTTTTCTTTTCTTTTTTTTTTCCTTCTTCAGATTGAGTCACTCAGATCTTAAATTTAGGGACTGTATTATATTCACTTATCCCACCAAGAGCTATGCCAGGCACATGGTAGAAATCATAAATATGTGATGAAAGAATGTGTTTCTAGATAAACGAAGCACGCTGACTAAAATTCCGCACACTGCTAGTATCTAATAAGTCATTTTCTGAAATTAAAACCTTACTACTTTAAACAAAGTCTGATGATCATTCTGGAGTCTCTCACGAATGCAGTCCTGAGTGAACGTCATCTTTGTGACATGGATTTGGTCTATATTCAGGCTGCTGACCCAGCTCATTCTCACACTCTGAGCATCCCCGCTAAGTATCAGAAGGATCAAAGAACAACATGAAAAATGCTGGGTTTGACCTAGGGCATCATCAGCCTCACCTGACTATTCCAGGACACTCATAATTAGGTAAACAAGTGTTTGTTAGAAAAATATATTTAGAATAGGAGAAAATGTGAGGAGTCTGGGGTCTTGGCTCTTGTCTATTGATCTGTTCTTGACATCTTGCTGTTGTTTCCAGAGGTGACCTTGCAGAGTGTGGACGTTTCCTTGACAACCATAATAATCACTTCCAGCACACAGGGGAAATGCTTCTCCACTTGTTTTCTAGTCCACTGCCACAGAGATACTCTATTGAGTAAAAAAAAGGAGGACCCTCTCCTTTCTAAAGCAGCACACGGCTTTTGGTGGCATTCACATTATGCGAGAAAACACACAGTAATGGTAATCATGAGACAATTCTTCCTTCTCTCAGAAACAGGACACACGCTCTGTACTGGTGCATGTTTCGTTCTAATTACCCCATGCATGAGCTTATGTGCCCAATGTGCATGTGCACACACACACACAGAAGCACACAGAAGCACACACAGAGAAACACATTCTCCCCTTTTATCTTCTATCTTCTGTGTCTGTGCTTTTTACCAATGTTCTACTTCTGGTGTGTTCTCTGTTTTACTTATCTCTTATTCACAGTAATAGTTGCTTTATTCGTTTACCAAATTTACATTTACCAAATTACAGATTGAAACTTCTCCAATCACAAGGCTTGGTTGGAGAAACTTGAGCTAGGTATCCCTGTGTTATTACATGATGAAATGGAAAGTATAATAGATCTTGAAATCAATGTTGCTTACAATCATTTTTTTAATTCACATTTTCTCCAGTTCATTTAAATAGTATATTAACATTTCATTTTCTCTGCTCTTTTTCTCCTAAAAGCAGTTTAAAACTTTGTTCCTGCTATTGATGATGCATGTTTATAGCAATTTCATACGATTCAATGGCAATGTTCATATCACAAAATAGCTGAGAGCCCCAGTATATTGGCTATGTACCCGTATTCATGGGGTTATTTTTGTCTGGGCTTCATGTTCATAGAAACCGTTTAAATTATGTAGTGGTTTGTCAGGAAAAACTTTCATCATGAATGATCCTTCCAGATGTTGTATTTATGTAAATAACTAAATAACCTAGATTTTCATGTGAAGAATGGAATATCACAAAACTAAAATTCACAATCAAGCTCTCTCAATGTACAGAAAGAGTTTAATGAGTTACTTCATATGCAAAAATGTATGGAATATAAACTTTAAAGTACTGTTCAACAAGTAGTTAAAATTCAATGATTGTGAATAGACTTTATTATAATTAACTTAGAAACTCACATCCAAATTGAACCAGAAAGATATTGCAACTCTGTATTTTATGTGAAAAACCTCAAATGTGTCCTTTGGTCACAGATCTTGGAATGATACAAGAAATTTCTTTAATTCTTTTTTGGTTACCAAATAAAATGATCACCATACGTTCAAGTACCACAATTACTTTTAACTTTATTGGTAAGTGTGTTATTTTATAACATAATATTCACCTGTCAACAATCTCTAATGGATTTACTGTATGTGAATACACATGGCTTCAGTTAGGAATGTTCTCAACTGAACAAAGCCACATATTACCACTTTTAATGAAAGTGGAATAATTTTAGGACCTATATCCATAAAAGTAGTGTATCACAGCCCATAAAAATGTACAATTATTATATATGTGTGAAAATTTTTAATGATGCTTGATGTTCAACAAGCATCATTTCTCTGTTTAATCAAATTGAGATTGGCATTTCTGGAATTCTTCTTTCGATTGTTCATGTTTCTTTCTTCATGGACACAAAATGGATGCAGCTTCTTTCAACATCACAATCTGCCTTTGAGAAATAACAGAGAAGGATCTCCCTAAGATTATGTCAGGAATGCCTTATACCATGCCCTCGCATCAGAGAAAGCAAAATTTTCCATAGAAAACTTGAAAAGTTTATACTCATTTCACATGACCTCCTATCTAAAGCATGTTCCCACTTGCCAGAGAACATGAGAACTTAGGTTTAAAACTCTGTGACCTATGCTGATAATTGATGAGTAGCATAGAGCTACTGGAGTATGAATTAAAAATAGTACATATTTATTTGAGAATAGATGAATGAACACATATATGATAGGTAAATTACAAATTTGGAGAGAAACAAATTATATATGACTTGACATATAGATAGCAGATAGAAAATATATAGATTATAGATAAAGACAGATATGTAGATAGTAGATGGGTTGTAGAAAGATGGCAAATGGTAGATGGACGATAAATAAAAAGGGTAGATAAATGATAGATTAGGTAATTGATAGTTATATGATAAATAAATTATAGACGGTAATAGATAGATAGATAGATAGATAGATATGATAGGTATATATAATAGATGGATAGATAGATTATAGACAGAAAGAGAGATAAATGATAGATATATTGATGATACGTGATTCATAATTCTAGATAGATAGAAGATTTAAACAAATGATAGGTGGGTAGGTAGATAGATAATAGATAGAGGGATGACAGACAGATTAATAGATGATAGGTATAATAGATAGATAAAAAGATAGATAGACATATAAATAGACAATAGGTTATTGAATATGGATAGATGATGGAGTTAGATATGATATGTAGATGAGGATAAAGATAAAATAAAGATCAAGAGAGAAGCTTAAAGAGGTAAGATTTCTCTGCCATAGCTTAAAATATAAAACTAATTATTAAAAATTAGAGTTGTTAGATGAAGCCACATATAAATGCTGGTAAGATCCTTTCATGGTAGAGATCTGTTGGTTACCAAAAGTATCTTAACCTTGTGTAGAGTCACTAGTGCCCAGAGCAGACAGTGCTTAGGAATCTCAGTAAATGTTAGAAACCAGTATGTTTTTCCTATTAACAAGTCCAGAAAGGCACCAAGAAGGAACCTTTTTGATCCCTCACCACTCTGAATGCCCAAAGTTTAAAATCCCATACACTGTGACCCGTGTAACAATTTCTTCAAATTCCTCTTAAAATAGAATTTGAAGGGCTAAGCTGTTACAGTCTGTCTTGTTTACCTTGAAATCGCTTCCAGGCACTCTGAGAGCACTTGCCATTATTAGCATTCTTCCAGCTCCTTCAGGTGAGTGTGCAACATGAGAGCAAAGAGGACGGTATGATGGTTGTGGGATCCGGAGAGTAGCTTCAACTTCTAGGACGTCTTTGCTCCTTTTCCTCTCAGGATACACCATACCTTGAGAATTAGATGAAGGGACAGGTTGTTGCCTTGCTTGCTATATCTCAGTTTACAATGATGACCTCTGTAAAATTTCATTCAGGAATCACTGGTTGCCTAAATTAATCCCGTGTGGAGCAGCCAGCAGCTAGGCAAGTCTTTCTTCCTTTAAGGTAAAATTCAAGAAACTCTATCACATGTTTCTGTAATGTGGTTTGCACAGAAAGGGTTAAGCACCATGCCTATAGAACTGATTAGGCTACAGAAATCTCAAAAGTGGGACTGTATGTTTAGGTTCTGTGTACATCACCAAGCCTGGAGCTGGACTCTTAATAAATGCTGGTAAAATGATTTCTATATCGTGATTATTAAAATGAGGACAATCGATGCTTTGGCTCAAATATTTAAAATATAACAAAATCAGCTCATTTCCCATGGAGAGCCAATCTCAAGACTTCGTTCTAACAACATAGCTCCAGTTCAAGCTCATTCAGTTTCCAAGCCAGTGGAAATTTATACAGTGACAACCAAGTTGTGTGTGCATACCAGCACATGCCTCATGTCACAGAACAGCCTTTTCTCAGATTGTTCAGCACTAGGAAAAACAATTTCTCACAGAGGACACAAGGATTCTCCTCAGGATTTATTGCCCCTAAGAAGTACAATAATATAATTTTTGAAGAGTAGGATTCTATAAAAACATGTTTCTTTTATACAGTCCAAGCACAATTTTTAAGTATTAAAAATGAGGATACTGTGATTTTTATGGCTATAAAGCTAAGATGCCAACTTATTAAAAAAGAATAGGTTTTATTGATCAGCTCACATGTGAAACACAGCTCACTGTCAAAACCGCAGTAGGCATTTTACAGTGGAGGAATACAGAATACGTAAGGCAAATAAGAATCTTCTACAAGTCAGCCCTGAATTCATTTAAAAAAAAAAAAAAAGCTTCTTTATTGCATGTTCTTCTCCCTAATCTGCGATTTCACTATCTTGCTTGAGGCTTATCCAGGATGGCATGAGCCAAGGCAACATGACCACCCTGCTGCCCCGTGAATTTGAACACATACACTGTTCTTGATGTCAGTAAGACACGGTTAGTGCATGTGCTTCTCTCACGGGTGAGCCCAAACATTTTTAGTGCAGGCAGTTTATTCCATTGAATGGAAAGGAAGCACAGAAGAAAGCAAAAGGAACAGCAAACAGACAGACAGACAGAAATAAGTCGGCTAGGAAGCAGCAGGCTGACACGTTAATTGAACATTACCTTTTCCTCATAGTGAGGGGCATGCATCACAGTCATTTCTGTCTCTTCTCACAGTGCTGATTTCAAACCCCCAGCTGAGAAGGCAGCTGTGCAGAGCAGAGAACTGGTGAGCACAGCGGGAGTGCGGCATCCTAATGCTACTCCCAGAAACTCTTGCTTTATTTCGGTCGCCGTGTTGTCATGAACAATGCCAGACACGTGCAAAGATGTCCTCTTTCCCCAGTGGTGGAACAAAGATCACAGTTCTCTAAAGACTTCAAAAGCCTGCACCACCTCACTTTTATTGTTATTTCCAGTGTAGCCTCCAAAGAGAAGGGATTGGCTGTTTTTCAGGGCGTTTGAAATTCAGGAAAGCACTCATTAATCATATCTTAACAGAATGGGTAATGGCAAAACAGACATGGAAGTTGAAGCACATGAGAGGAGTGCTGATTGTCTCTCTCCTCCCCTAACCAAAGAAAGAAAAACAGAATAAAGACAAAAAAGAAAGAAAGAAAGAAAGAAAAAGGCTGCCCAGTTGCACACCAGGGCTTGCTCTTTTCCCACATTGTGATATTGGAAAGTTTCTCATTAATAAAACTGGAATTGTATCATATACATGTATAAGATAAATGTAGCAATACAAAATAAAATGAGTCGAAATAAAACTGCAGTTTTTTAAAAAGCCCTTGATTATAGAATTACTTTCTATCTGTTACCATGTAGTGACAGTGAAAATGTCTCATGCAGTACTCTGGCAGAGACATGAAAAGTACTCACAGCAGAAAGACTGAGCAGCACAAAGGACACAGTCACTACACGCATGATGTGACGATACAGCAAAGCAGACACGAATAAAGCATGCCATTCAATGGCGGGAATTCCGAGGAGGCTGAGCCTTAAGAATCACAGAAGAGGGAAGTTTACCTTTCTGAAAACACAAAATATCAATATGCATTCCTAACATAAATGTACATCTGCATTAGTGTCTACTTTAAGAGTTTTTGGGTTTAGTATTTAAAATCACATTTAATTTTTTAAAAACTTTACAGCTCTATTTTATTGTTCCTAAGTAATTGAGTGCTTTATCACAAAACTACAATCAAGCATAAAAGTGAACGTGAAAATGTTTAATACATAAAACTAATTCCAAGGTACTTTAGGGATGTCTCACTTTTTATCTTCTCTTAATTATACACATATACCTGGAGAAATACATGGGGTTAAAACAGTAAAATTCGTAAATCTTAATTTAAATGTGGATTTTTTTTAGCTAATAGATATTTATAAGCATAAGCATAGTGCCCAGATAATTTTGTAACTTTGACTCAAAACAAAATTACATACAACAACAACAACAACAAAAATCAGATATGACCATCATTGGCATAACTTCACTCGGGAAATTTTTCTTGTTCATCCGATAAAACCAAAACTATTGGAGAAAATAGAAGAATGACATACAACTACTGTGGAAAAACAAATTCCCAGTCAAGTTACATAAACTATAGCATTGTCATCTCATTTTGGATGTTAAATGGGCTGGTTTTGTAGAGTCTTGCAACCCCAAAGTATTGGCCTTACATTTTCCCTGATGTTACTAATTTCTTTTACTTGTCTCCTCACAATATCCATTGTGTGATGTCCACTAACTGGAAGAACTTCCCCTGAATAAGTCAATGTTTCCTCTAATAAAATGTTATTTCCTAAAATGTCAATCACCTTTAGTAGCAATATATTGAAGTCTACTCAAATATGCTACTTATTCTAGAAAATGAATAAGATTATTCTTAAAAATTGAGTAATAAAATCTGTTATGTTAATATTTTAGAGCTGTATTTTTCATCATGTGCCAAAACAATTACAAATAGTCTAATTCATTAAGCTTAACAACAGAATCGGACTTGACAATAGTAAAGATGTATGAAAATGAGGAACACAGAGACAAAGGGAGGGACTTGACCTGATGAACCATATAAAATTTTAATGCACTAATGGTTATTTTTCACTTTTAATTGACACATGTTTGCACATCATTAGCAGAGTATGGTAATTTGATACATATGTGCAATTTCATGATCCAATCCATCTCCTCAAACGCAGTACCTGTGTGACAGCAGAGTCTGAATACATTTCCTCTGGCAATTTTGAAGTGTGACAGAAACTCATGTAGGCTACAATTGACCTTTTCTGTGAGACACCAGACTGCTTTTCCCTGACTAACTGTATTGTGATCCTTTCTCCAGACTCTCTCTTGCCACATTCCCTCCCCTTCCCAGGCTCTTTCAATTTATAAAACAAGCCTATAGTTTTAATTTTCACAAACGGGTGAGAAACTAATAGCATTTTAGATTAGGCTATGAATGTATTTTCCACTTAGTATTGGAAAAGCTAATGTGACTTTAATGAGAAATGTAGGACTTCTGTTAGGTAAGTGACAAAGAGCATGAACAGAAACTTCAGAAAAGCAAAGGTAGGCCAGATAGACATGGAAAAAAGAAATACCAACTTTCCAAACAAGCACCAAAACTCAAAATGACATTCCATTTTTGCTTATTAATTAATTTGAGATATGCAATACTCAACAATCACATTACTATTCATAGGTCAAATTGGTACTTGACGGGGAAACATGACAACATGACACACACATCCAAAATGATTACTCATTCAATATTAAAATCATCTATGGGCTCCTACTTTAAAAACGTTACTTTTTTAATAATGTTTAAAATAGTATCTCAACACTGGAAAAGTCAAAATACTAACTAAATATCCAATAAAATAAACCCTTCAAAACTGAGAATGAAATTTGTCCCTGGTAATGTGCAGAAAGGGTGAAGCTGTGATTGCTACTACAATCACCCGATGTGTTTCTGTACCCATGTCAAGACCCAGGCAAGAATGCTATGGATCCACAGAGTGACTGAAAATCACCTTCCTGTCTCCTGGCCATGTACACTTACCTACACAGAAGCCTTGCTCTCACTCTTTCTCACTTCCTAGAAGTATTTTTTAAAAAGCCAAAAGTTAAACTAGCCCATCTTTCTGAAAACATCCAACTCAGAAATGGCTCTTTCTGCCTTAGGAGAACTGGCTTGCCTAAGTTCTTGGAAAAAAAATACTAATCCAGCATTTCCCATCTCAACACTGAAACCACCGCAGGACCTTTGCTGGATGCTCTTCCTTGCAGCAAGATGTATCAATCTTATTCTGTTTTGCTCAGCTGTGAATGGTCAATGGCAGGTGCAGTTTAATAGACTGACATTGACAATCTCTATGCTGAGTAGAATTCAGACACTTTAATAAGAGCATGCAAAATAGTGGGGCATGCTTATGCCAACAGAAAAAACAGGGAAAGCAAACATAGAGTATAATAGTTCAAAATACTAAATTTATTGGTAATCCTAGGGTTTCTTCACTTCCATCTCTATTTCCTTATATTATTGATGTTAAATAAATTATGTTTCTAAAAATCATTAATATATATGAGAATAAAATATATCTTCTCCATTAAACTTAAAAAACTACCAATGCATAAATCTGGAAACTTTATATATTTACAAAGGAAATAATGTTAACATAAAATTAATTGATACATATTATTAATGAACTTGCTGTCCTTAAGCTGACAGATAATAAAGTTGGTTGATTCCACTATGTATTCATTTAATTTATTGATATATACAATGGCTTGATTTATAAGCAGTTGTTCATTATTTGATATGTTCAAGAACACAATGATTAACTCATCTCTATTAATTCATTCCTTATTTTGGTTCTCCCATTTCTCATTTTAGCAAACATTGAGCTTCCTTAATTCTCCAGACCTTTTCCAGAACTAGGTATCAATGAACTAACTTGTTCACAATAAGTATCATAATGGGAAGGCAGGAAAAATATATACCAAACAGAGGGTCAGATGCCCTTTTCACATACATAAATGGTACTGTGGAGGAAAGTCAAGGACATGTCTACTGTCTTGACAGGCATGTCATAGAGGCGTCTAAAGATGATGTCAGAAAGGAGCAGATGCTCAGCCCTTAATAATGTATACATTACTAGGCTGCGTGTGTATATATAATTAAGAGCTGAAATAAGAAAGATAATTGATACTTCACCAGATTAGAGATGCCAAAGTCAATGTGGGAGCAATGATAGAGGGTTCGTGGCAGGAGTGGAACTTTATGAAAGCAACTTTAGTTTTGAGGCAATTACTCCAAGTAGTTTAATGATTTTCATTGTTTATGTTAACTTTTCTTTTTCATTTTTTTATTTTTATTTTTTACATTAATTACAGTTATTCACTTTGTATCCCAGCTGTAGCCCCTCCCTTATTCCCTCCCAATCCCCCCTTCCCTCCCTCATCTCCTTCCAAATGGCCATTTACTAAAGTACCATTTTTGAGTCAATGGAGATTGCCCACCAAGAGTCAGCTGAAAAGCTCAAAGAAGAATCTTCTGATGTAATCTGTTACCCACAAAGAGGTGATCTGTTTATTAGGATATTACCCATAGAACAACAAAGAGAGTTTTATGAGACACTGTGTTTTTGCATACTCGGAACTGAGAATTTGGCTAACTATGAAAAAATTAGAAAGCAACCATTCTTTGATTTTTAACTAGCTTCAGGTTAAAGAAGATCAGTCATATTTTGATGGAGAAAATTTTGTCAAGTTTCAAAGGTATAAAAATACAAAGTGCAGGGAAGGGTATATTTCAGGCTTTAAATTGGACTTGGAAGAGATGCAGGCATAGTTACATATGGCAGGCAAATGGAGACCCTGCCAATAGAAGCAAATGAGTTTGAGCATGTGTGAAGTTTGATCGTGCATATGGGGAACATTAGCACAGAGAACAAAAAAAAAATATATATCTGTATAGCAAATGGGCCATGTTTGTATAGCAAAGACTCCAGCAAAAGGAAGAATTCTGAACGTGGTGTGAAAAAGAAGCCAGAGAAGTTTCCAGCCCGATACCCTTAGACTCTATTAGATTTTTATTTCTCCTTCTGTGATAGAATCATGTTCATGTGTTTCTTTTTTTTTTTTTAACAATCACTTTCCTCCTTTATGTTCAATTAGCAAAAAAGAAAAAAATGTGTGCAATAATCTTGTGAAGTGTAGACTCACCTAAGGGACATCACAGAAGATAAAAACCAACTTCTGCTTTTATCCTGTTTCTTGTTTAAAGTCACACTAGTTTCTTCTGTTAATGACTGGCAAGTGTACTAATTCATAGTACGGGTGAATAAAATAGAAACATATTTGCAGAACTGTTAAGA